TGTTGGGAAGCCATTCACTGTACTTTAACTTTTTGGAAGAGTTTGAGAAAATGAAATTAGACTTTTGAATGCTTGATAGAATTGTGAATTCTGGACTTGTTTTATGGGACTTTTTGATTACTTTTTCAATTATGTTGTGATTAATCTTTTCAGATTTTCTTGTTTCATCATGATTCAGTCTCAGGCTATTGTATGATTCCAGAAATTTATCCATTTCTACTTGTCTGTTTTGTTGACATGTTCATAATAATCTCTTATGAGTCATTGTATTTCTGAGGTATCTACTTTTCTACTTAGTAACTGCTCTACTTTCATATTGATAATTTTTCTTTTTTCTTGTATTCTAGACAAGAATTTTTTTTCCCCAAAACCAGGTCCTAAATTAATTAATCTGTAGTATTTTCATTATGGTTTCTAATTTCATTCTTATCCTGATTTTTATTATGTGCTACCTTCTACTGACTTTTGGCTTTGTTCCCTATTTCTTAGTTCCTATATAGTAAGATTAAATGGGGAGCCTGAGAGTCTTGTATCTTTAGATTAAGCTTGTCTTGATATAAACTTCACTTTTAGTACTATTTTGCTGCATCCCAAAGAATATGGTATGCATTTTGATTTTTATTCAGGTGTTTGTTTTTTTTTGATATATCCTTTGAATTTTTTTTTTTGGGGGGGTGATCCAATAGTTATTCAGTGCACAATCTCCAAGTATTTGTGGTTTTTCCAGCTGTCATCTAATTGTTGATTCTAACTTCATACCTTTCTTCTCAGAAAAGTTCCTTGGTAATTATTTGACCTTAAATGCTTCAGATTTTGTGTTTTTTTTTTCCCAATATGTAATCTATCCCCAATATGTAATCCAATATGTACATGAGAATGTCTCATGTACATTTGTAATATTCTATACATATCTAATATTTCCTTATGTATCATATAAAACTCAAATTTCCTTATTGACTTTGTATCTAAAGATGAATTTATTGATGTGCATGTAATGTAACAGTCCTCTACTCTTTTGTTGCTGTCAATTTCTCCCTTTAGTGTTCCTATGTTGGGTTCACATATATTGATGACTTCTGTATCTTCTTGATTGACCCCTTTATCATATATAATGCCCATCTTTGTTTTTCATTGCCATTTTCATTTAACGTGCGTTTTGCCAGATATAACTACTTAACTCCATTTGTTTTTGTTTTTATTAAAAATTTAATTTTTTTATTTATACAAGAGCTAGGGTACAGGACAGATGTGTGGGAGGGTGAGAGGATTCACCAGAGACAGAGTGGGGAATAGAACAGGCAGACTGACGAAATACACTGCTGAGGGGAGCACCGGGTGAGACAGGAGAGGTCTGCTCGCCATATGGGTTGGTCCGAGGCTGGCGGTGATCGAACTGGCACTGCAGAGGCTGCAGAAAGCTTCACAGTGTGCTGCTCAATTACCTGCGCCACCAGGGAGGCCCTTAACTCCACTTGTGTGGAATAAATTTTTTTTTTTCTATCCTTTCACTTTTGTCTAATAATGTCCCTATCCCTGAATTGAGCCTCCTGTAAGAGATAGTTGAGGCTTGTGATTTTATCCATTCAGCCACTCAAGGTCTTTTGATTGGAGAATTAAACTATTTACATATTTGTCACCATTTTACTTGCTGATGTTTGATTTTTTAGTTCATTATTTTATTTTCTCCTCCTTTGAGGATTAATGTTTTTTCACTTTAGTTTTTCACATCATAGTTATCATGAGATTCAGATGTAGCTTATGTATATATTCTCTTTCACACTATTGTTACTATGTTTAAACACATTCCAAACTCAACATTTCTCCTCCTCCTGTTTTGTGGTTTTGATCTCTTATTTTACATCTGTATCTTACATCAATCCTTTGACTATTTAATTTTAACACCCATTTTTTAATATTCACTCTGTTTTTATAGATGATTGACCCATGAGTTTCACTGTGAATTTATCTTTTCCAGTGAATTTTTTTGTGTGTGTGTGCTTTTTTTCTTGCTTTTGTTTAGTGCCTTTTCATTTTTGGAAGTGACCCCTTTAACATTTATCATAATACTCATGTAGTGGTGATGAACTCCTTTAGCTTTTGCTTGTCTAGAAATCTCTGGATTTCTTTATCTGAAGACTTTCCTATAAATAGACTTCTTGGTTGAATTTTCATTGTCTTTTGTTATCTTTAATTTCAACCATTTTAATTGCATCTCTGGGGTCCTGCTATTTGAAACCCTCTTGCTTCCTTTATCTGAATGTCTGCTGCCTTGCCTAGATTGGGAACGTTTTCAGTTTATTTCCTCAAATATTTTTTTCCCCTTCTTACTTTGAGACCCCCATAATGAAAATATCATCCTTTTTGCTGTTGTCACAGAAGTTTCTTAGGGTATTTTCACTTTTAAGTCCTTTTGTTATTCTCTGTGTAGGTGAGTTTTATTTTGTCTTCCAACTCTTATCACTCCTCTGTTCGATTCAGAGTACTGTAGCACCCCAAAATTTTATTTTTAATGACCTGTCATATTCAGATTTTTTCACTTGCTTTAATCTTTCTTAAATTTTCTAGTTTATCCATTTTCCCCCCTGAGGTTGTTGAGTGTCTTTATAACCACTAATTTGAGTTGTTCTATCACGTTATTTGCTTATCTCCATTTCTTTTTTTCTGGAGTTTTGTTTTGCCTTGCTATTTTGTTCCCCTGTTTTCCCATTTTGCCTGATTATTTGTATGTGTGTCTCTGTATCAGTCATCTGTACTCCCTGTCCTAGCACTCAGTTTGGTCTTATGTGGGTGATACTGCTAGAAGTATAAGCACACAGTCCTTTTGCTTTGCCACTCAAAGTGTATAGCCCTTTTGTGGTGCATCCACCTGCCTACTATGTCCCAGCAGCACTGTGGACAGGGCAATAAGCCAAACCAGGATATAGCCTATTGCTTGAGCTTGGCTGTAACCCTCCATTCTGGTGTGCTCAACGAATGGTGCTAAGTTGGTACCCAGCTTTGTTGTGTGGCTGCTACAAGTTGAGTTTGTGGCAGATGGATTCAGTTGCTGACCCATGCTAATGTGGCACACTCATTTGCCAGTTGGTAGAGCATAGTTGCCAGAGGTGTGCAGGTCCTGCTTAGTGGCTGTCAGGTGTGGCCTCTTTGGAGGAAGTGTATAAACTGATTAGGCAGTTAGAGTTGGAGGGATGTGGAGGTACATATGGGCATCAAGGTTGCTGGAAGTGCTAGGTTACCAGGGTTTTGTAGGTAGCTGTCCTTTCAGAGGCATTGGGGCACATGCCATTGAGGCTGCTCAGAACATGGCCTCTTTGCTAGCAGACATGTGGAGACTGGCAGGGACATGGCCTATTTGTTTGCCAAACGTGGACCCTCTTCATTTGTTACCATTTGGCTTTAAACTAGCAGAGCTACTTCTCAGGGTTGGGTAAAAATCTTAGATTACCCTCGAGGTCTAGTAGTATGGAGAGTGGGTTGCAAGAGGTCAACCAACACTGGTATTAGCTAGATTTTGAGAGGTTGCCAAGATAGTGGCTGCTAGTGATTCTAGACAGACACAGTAAAGATGGTATCTAAGATTCTTTCACCTTTGTGAATCTGCATGCTGGCCCTATAGAACTGGTTTTCAGTCTTATTTTTATTTCTCTGGCTCTCATGCAGGGATTTCAGGATCTTTTCTCCCATGTGCTGTACTGAAGGGTTGGTTGCCAGATTTTGGACACACGCCTCCTCCCATTTCTGAATGAAACATCCACAACTTAGAGATCTCTTCCTAATTATACCTCCTGCCCCTGGAGTGGGATTTCTTCCTTGGCAATAGCATTGTCTGTCATCTATCTTTGTGCTGACTTTTTACCCATTTTATGTGGGAGCTCTATTCAGCTAGATATCAGGTCTTCTTTGGGTAAATTAATCGATATTTGTGGATTTGTAGTTTCTTTCTACACTATCATCTTGAACCAACCTCCTATCTATTGTTCTTACCCTATTATTTGGCCAATGTCGGAATTTTAAATCATGGGTGGTAAGTCAATCAATATTTACTAGGTGCTTAACATGAAACAAGGATTATACTATTAGAGCCTCTTAAATATGACTTAACTTACCTCTATCAATTTCTACAACATTCCACAATGTGTATCAGGATACACACTGCATTTAAAACACCTTATATAAAAGTACAGTGATCATATTACCAAAGGCTCTGTATATCGTTAGGATACATATAGAGTTGTATTCTTCACTGGAAGTTGCTAATTCATTGTTTAGTTATATCTTAAATTTACAAGTTTCCTGTGAACTTAGAGTTATTTCCCAATTCAATATCCCAAGGAAGTGTTTCACAAGTTTATAAAATATTATTTATGGCCTTAATATATAAGTAAAAACTAATGATGAAACTGACGGTTTGAATGGAATTATACAGTGTTTGCTGAATAAGAATCCTTTCTCCAACTACATTGCAGAAATATAAGTGATACAGGTATTTTATTTTTCAAAAACAATTGTGTGTCAGTTAAGTTCACCTGTTTTCCTTTAAGTATAAAACAGGTTAGGGAGAATATGATCATTTTTCCATTGCATGCCATTTCAAAAATTGCATGCCATTTCAAAAATTCTCACTTTGTCATTCTCATTTACATACTTTTGGGATAGGATAGAGAAAGATGAATGGTTTAAGAGATAGAAAAGGAAAGTTTTCCATATTTAAATTTTAATTTTACCATAGATGAAGTTCCTATCATATATATATATGTATTTGTAATAGAAACTAATGAGTTAATGTGTTGAATGGTTTTCTGCACCATTTAAAGTCTTAGACTGAAACCCATCTTATTTTCACTAAGGAATGGTTTTAAGGAGTTTATTTTCAAGGTAGTTGCAGAACCCAGATCAGTAAGATATCATGTAGCAAGAAATAGAACTACTGATGCTTTCGTTGTACTGTGGGATGCTATATGCAGATATTTAAATAATGAAAAATATCACATTTGCTAGATTTTCCTTTTATTTTCAAATGAATAACCTTTCTCGTAACCCTTGAGGGAACTACGTATTACAAAGAATAAGGTGACCTAAATAAAGTCCCAATGCATTTTGTATAACTTTGTTGATAATTTAGACTTTAACTGATTTCACAAGGCCCTTCATGACATGTGACTACTATGGGCTACTTGCAAGCATGATTGCCAGTTATCATTGCCCTTTGTTGTCTGTTGGGCATCATTGACTAATCACTATGCTGTCATGCCATGTCTACCAAGGCTGGCCTGTAGGCTTGGAGAGTAGATGAGAATCCTGTCAAGGAAAGACTGTCCACAGTTAAGTCCATTTACTTCCATGAGGGAGATGATGTTTGAGAAGAAAAAAAAAATCTAGTTTCATGATCGCCAGGGTTTTCCCCATCTCTAACTTCCTTGTTCCATTTTCTTCCTTGCAGTTTTTTGAAAAAAGCACTTTTTATATCAATGTCTTTTTTCTCCCATTTTCTGTCCTCTCCCTTCTTTCTACTTTTCCATCAAGCTTCTGACCTTCCTTTGCTTGCTATAATTCTCTTACTATGTTTAAACGTTGCCTCTGCAATAGATGGAATTCCTTCTATTTAAGAGGTGAATTTAAGCAGAGCATGGAAAACAGTAGCTCAACACTCTGGACAAGAACTAGAAACAAAATTTCTTCTAGGGCAAGTATGCAGGATTAAGTTGGTTCCTAAATAGTGGCTTAGGGGCTCTTTTATCTGAATGAAAGCCCTGGTTTACTCCAAAAATGTAGGGTGGGGAACTCTTCTCACCACTCTATGGAGACAATCCATTCAAATAAGTTAGCAGTAAACAAAGACTCTCTCCAGTGGAGATACTGGTTTCTCGTTGGAGACTCTTTTTATGTGGGTTTCACTGCTTGTGGCAGAGGCATTCGTTTTCCATCCTGGGCATGGTGGTGACAGAGTCCAGTACTTAAATCTGCACTGTTGGAAAATGGACCACACACATGAAAAACAAGTTACCGTACACTCTGCAAAACAACATGTCCACAAGTGGAAATCAATTTGACAGAGTACAAATACAAAACAGCCCCTTACCTGCATTATTTACCACTAAATGCCTGTTTTGAATCCAACATTAGTTACCACTAAATGATTATTTTGAATCAGAAGTATAGAAAGTGTTTGCAATAGCTGGCATTAGTAAACTTCTAAAGGGAATAACTGAATTTGGCATCAGAGCACCATGTTTAAATCCTGTTTGGTATTAAATTGAAATTTAATAACCTTTGAAAATAGGGTAGTACAGATAAATATAATTCTTGTGATATTTGCTAATGTACCCTGTGGAAGATAACTTGAAAATCTTTCAGGACTGGTAAGTAAGTAAATATAGGTCAACCAAGGGCATTGCCAGGACTACATTCTTTCACATATTTACTAAATATTTAGATTATATTATATTCATGGCCTTTTAAATATATAACAAGTTTGATATATAAGTTTACCTAGAAAAGTGGGTATTGTGTCATTGTGAAAAGTAAATAGGTTATAGTACAAGGTATTAAATTTTTATGACAATCCTATGGTGATGTTTGTACAAAATATATAGGTATTTGTATACGTGCATGCATGTGTACATATATATAGTATGTAAAATAGCTCAACTTTTTCCAAGTCATTGCAGAATGAATATTGTAAGACTTATATAAGTAGTTTCACAACAGCAAAACATTAACTACCAATTTGCCATAGCATAGATTCTTGTTAAAAAAAAAATAGTAATTTTAAGTAGCACAAAATATTTACATGGGTCATAACTCTTACCAAAATCTGCATTCTGTAGGCTTTTCTTTCCAGAAAATGTTAAGAAAAATGATTGAACTTTGTGGGAGGGTATACACTATAAATCTTGATAATCATGATTAAAATAAGCTTTAGTCATTACATGTTTTGTGAAAAGGTGGCTCCCATCAGATATATTATTGGGGATACTATTATACTATAGTGGCAAATAACTTGCTTGCTTTCTTAAACATCTTACTTAAAATGGTACCATATGTTTCATGGACAACTCATATACCTGATGTTTGTCTTGACAACACAGTTCTTGGGAAAACTGAAATGGATATCTGTAAGAAGACAGAGTAGGGTAAAATTGTGGTTATAAGGAATGGGGGTATGCCTGGGTCTTTATAATTACACATACTGAGTTTTTATTCTGCTACCTGAACAAAGTATTTTGTAGCATTTTTTAGTAGCATGATTTCCTTAGAGACCTAGTTTGAACGCCATAAAAAGGGTTATAGTGGAGGGGCTATAGGGCTGTCATTTGAAACTAAGACAGTCATGTTATAAAAACCCATACTTCTTGTCTGTGAGAAATAAAGGTGCTAAAATTGCAGCCAAAAAAAAAAAAAAAGGCAATTTGCTTATATTCTTTTTGTGCTAATTAGTATTTTCATATTGGAAGTGTGGCTTGGACAAAACTGCCTTTTTTGTATGTTTGGTGCTTTGCATATGTAGGATGAAGTCTTTAGTGTAGTACAACACAGGATCAACAGGGAACATTTTCATCTAGAGTGTCTTCCACTTTTATTGTAACCCCCAGAGTGCTAAAAGTGATCACTGTTCTGGCCTATAAGATAGTTGCTGGGAAGTGGCAGGATCTCAAGAATAAAGAAGCATTGTAACAAGTACATAGAACAGGGTGATTTGTTGCCTGCCTTTGAGGACCTCTTTACAGCTGGGTCTTTTGCACTGTCACTGATACTCATTCCAAAGGGTCAGATGCTGAATACTCAGACTGTTGGCCTGAATCAGGTATTAAAAATGGAGGTTGCACGTAAAAGTTGAGCTCTTTTACGTGATGGCTATTTCTGTCAGGTGCCATGATTGACTATGCTACCTGTTTAAGTTGTTCTTTCCCAAGAGGTACCTTGAGGATTACTTTGTGGTCCTTATTGACACTTTTAAATTTTCAATAGCCATTACACATACTTTTTTTTTATCTTGTCTTAACATTTTCCATCAGAATTATATTGATTTTTTGGTGAAAATATAATCCTCATAGTGACTAAATTTTCTACTTCTGCCAGGAAAAGTTATTAAAATGCTTGCCCACCTCCCTTAAAACTGATAATGTGCATTTAAAAAATACTTTTGAAATAATAAATACCACATGAACATATGTATCCAGTAAAGGGTTTCCATTTTTATGACACTTGATTCTCAAGAACAGACATATACTTTAAAGGGAAAAAAAAAAAGTTGCCAGCTCTGAATTGATTGACATTTGTTTACTTAACTCTCTCCTTTTGAAAGCCTGCACACCTATTTCAACCTTGAACAGTTTCCAACTGTGGTACACTGGAACATTTTTTCATTTATTAAGTTCAGTGTTGCCAACCCAAACAAAGTATAATCAGCGATGATCCGAGCAGACCAAGCTGTCTAGCACCATACAATGTATCTGCATACTAATTTCCAAATTCCCTCACATTTCCAGAGAACTAATGGGATCATTTTCATTCTGTTACAGCAACTCAACAGTTACTGAATCACCATCTGTGTTTTCGTTAACCTGAATCAGATATGAATTCTGTTATTGCAAGGTAGAGCAGCTTGTTTAATGATTCTTAATCTTTTCTTTAATTAAATCATGCAGCCAACCTGAAAAATCTATCTTAATGCAAATTAGGAGCTTTTTTGGCATTCGCTTACAGTAATGCACTAATAAGGTTAATTTATGAAGGTTCTCTTCCAGTCTGTACAGATGATATTTGTTCACTGCATATTTTTAGCATATTGTCCCTTTTTGTAATATTTTAAGTAATAAAAACATAGTTATTTTTCACTTACACAAATGAGAGATACTGTAAGCAGTACTCTCTGTTAACCAAAACTATGTACAAAAATTATAAAGAATTCTAGGTAAGGGGAAAATTCATGTTGAATTTGAAATATGAGATATCTGGAAAAACTGTCTTCCTCTAACCAAGTTAAGCTATAAGAGAAATTCCCATAAACTTCGTTCTTTTGGACATGAGTTAGTAATATAATTATATTACTATTACATGACTGATGAACTGAATTTTGATAATTTTAAGATACCTAATTGAAAAGTTACTTAACGTATTAAAATTTCTACTCCTTAGAGTGCTAAATTCAGTATAAACACAATCATGGAGGTGAAACAGATAAAAAATAGTATGGGATAAAAAGAAATGGTAAGTTGTAAGACAGTGGTATTAAAAGTGCATGAGTGAAAGAATAATCCATAGCTCATTTTAATATTTCCTGATAAGGCTTTTCTTCATGACTCCGGCTTTAATTTACATCATGAGGCGAAACTTCATGATATCCCAGAGTTAAGACTTAGAGTTAGGGGCTGCATTTCCCAGGTCACTTCTAAATCTAGATTTGACATATAGCTATTAACATCTTTGGTGCTATCTAAGGTAAGATAAATGACTTGTTTAAGATTATTATGGTGAGCATACAAACTTAGTGAGAGCCACATGTGTGAAATCACCTTACATATACATACATATACATAAAGAAGGGAATACCAGCAGGGTATGCTATCTCCCCTCACCAAGTTTTTAGAAGGATTAACTTTGCACTCAAATATTTCTTCTTATGTGATTTAAAGTGAGGTGTCAGTATTTCTTCAGGCATTTCTATCTCCTTTACGAGATATCCAGTGAAGTCATTCACTGGGAATGGACTAAACTTTTAAAAGTTTTTTGTCCCTCATTATACTTTGAAATACAAGATTTTGTTTTGAACTCATCTATTGCCATGACTTCCAGATTCAGTATCTATTGATAAGCTGTCTAAATAAATTTTAGTGTCACAACCTGTTTCTTTAGAACATAACTGGACATAGGTCATTTCCAAAACAATTTCCCTATTGGTTATATAGATGAAAAATTAAAGTTTTTTTCCTCAAAAAAAGTGCTTGGGAGATTTCATCATGGAATTCTGAAGGATGAGTATGTCATCTATCCCCCAGAGCAGTAGGAAATAGTCTAAGTAAAAGATGAGCGCTGTGGCCTTAAACAAAAAGTAATAAATTGTAGAGTACATTGCTTTGGTCATGACCAGGCCCCTAAGCTTCCTCCTTTATCTGTAATATAAATATATGCAAATCTTGACCTGTAGTGTTATATCTCCTAGACTTTAGAAAGCTAAAAAACAAGCTGATTAATGAGGTAACAAATGTATTATTGCCTTTAAGTTTCAAAGTCCAGTATGGCTGTTGACTATATTTATTATACCTCCAGGTAAAATTCAGTCTAGAGGGAAATGAGCCCAACAGAAAGCATCAGTCATTTTGAGAATAATTATATAGCTTAATTATAATTAGAATCAAAGCAAGACACTGGTGTTCAATTGCCACCAGCAACTGGGATAAAGTATTTTTAAATACTTGGGTCAGAGATTAGAAGACATATAGGCATTAGATATGTTCTTTGACATGAGTGGGATCCTTGTATTTGAAGCCAAATGACACAGAAATGGTTTTCTCTAGCAAATTGGTAAGTTACATTGCCTTTTTTATTTCTTTGAGGCAGAAACTATAAAATACTGAATTATTACCTTACAGCAAAGCTGCTATTTTAAGAATTTAAAACTAATATTGACTGCTGTCAGATCACTTTCTAGATTTATTGACTTAAGAAGTAGATATTAACTGAGGTGAAAGCAAGGTCAGGTCAATATTTATCTTGTGAATCAATAGATTTTGGTACTAACAAAAAGTGAAGCTCAATAAATGTACATAGTAAAGAGGAAAAGAAAATACAAGATGAAAAAGTTTCTAAGTTTGAAATTTCCTAAGCAAATTTCACTTGTCAGGGTACATAATAGCTCTTAATATTTGAAACTAAGAGTTTACAGGTAAACTAACAGAAAAACTAGGTTTGTAATTTAGATGTGTAAATAGATGATCTCTCTCCATACAACAAACATTTTCTTTGCTTTTTTTAATCTGCTTCAGGAGAGAAGGAAATCATGAGGACATTTGATGAAAGTCCGATATTGTCACTTGAAATTTGGTCCCTAAGAATGAAGTGTTTATCTTTGTAGATCCTGTGTACTCCAAGGTACCTACCTTCATCCATTTAGAGTATGTCACAAATTGGGTAGTTTTGTAACAGCAAAAACCTTGAGGTCAGCATGGTTGGGGGAGAAGTTTTCCCATGTGTCAGACATTTCTTTGTATCCTCCCATGGCACAAGTGGGCGGAGGAGCTCTCTGTGGTCTCTATTATAAGCACATTAATCCCAGTTATAAGATTCTGTCCTCATGACCTAATCATCTCCCAAAATTCTGTTCACTAAAATGAGTTTGAGGAGGAAGGAGATATAAATATTTAGACTACTGCACTTGTGATCAAACACAAAAATTGTTAGTGAACAGATTTTTTTTTTTTTTTTCATAATTCCTGACTTCCGAGTCTCAAGAGTCTAAAACCCCTCAGATCAGTTTCAACTAGTATCTATTGAAGACCGTCTGTGGATAGGGGAGTCTCTTTAGAAAATCCACAAAGCATAGTACCTTCACTGTAGGTTTTTTCCTCATCTAATTCAGAAATTCAGAGCATAGCAGACACTGAAGAGTGTTCAGCAAGTATGAGGTAGTTAAATAGAAATCATAATATATCCACATTATGTGCATGATGTCCAGAGATAAGTATCAGGGAATAAAGTGGAGATGCCAAATAACCCCCAAGAGTACAGACAAGATGAACAAGTGTTGATTAAAATAAAAGCTTATACATATTTGTGATTTTTTTAAAGTATAAACCAGAATATTTATTTACCTTCAGTATTACAGGGCACATTATTTTCCTTAATCAATAAGAAATTTATCTCTCAAATTTTTTAACTAAGGTCTTTTTATATAAACTACCTTGTATATTATATGCTGCCTCTAAGGTGTTTTTTTTTTTGTTTTTTTATTTATACAAGCACTGGGTACGGTCAGAAGCGCGGGAGGGTGAGAGAATTCACCAGAGCAGGCACTGCTAGCAGGCGTGGCAGAAGAGGTTTGTGGGACCGCGAACCCCGGCTGCCGGGGGCTCCAAGGAACCCCAGCTGCCGGGGGCTCCAAGGAACCCCGGCTG